GGCCAGTAGATCCCAGATGGCCAGCGGATCCCGGGCGACCAGTGGATCCCAGGCGGCCAGCGGATCCCAGATAGCCAGTGGATCCCAGGTGCCTGCGGATCCCGGGCAGCCAGCAGATCCCGGGCGACCAGCGGATCCTGGGTGGCCAGTGGATCCCGGGTGGCCAGTGGATCCCAGACGGCCAGCAGATCCCAGGCGGCCAGTGGATCCCAGGCGCCAGTGGATCCCAGGCCAGTGGCCGCTAGGATGGCTGTGCATTCTCACCAGAGCCTCAGCCTCATGGCGGCCCAAGCCCCAAGCCCCTGTGCCCACACGGCCCTCACACTGGGACAGTTCAGGCCGCCACGCCTTTGCCCGGCTCCTGCCCCGGCTGCTCAGTGCTCCTCTGAGAGGTCTCCTTCCTCGGGGCTCTGCAGCCTCAGGTTTCCACGTGGCACCTGACTTAGCGCCTGCGCCCCTGCCCGTCAGGGGCAGTGCCCTCGGCATCCCAGGCGTGGGTGGGCGACAGTTCCGGCCCCTGCTCAGCAGAACGTCACCTCGTCCCGTGCAGAGCCCGTCCTTCCACGAGGTCACACAAACGTCTCCCGCTTCGTCTCCTCTTAGCAGCGCGGGTCCCAGTCACTCACACTGACAACAGTCCCTGGAGGCCTGGTCTTTGTTCTTTATCGCTATGTCCCTCTTCCCTCCTCGTTAAAGAGCCCGGTCGGGATGCGACACAGGCTTCAGGAGGCTTCTCCCCAGACGCGCCCGCTCCCCCGCCCTGGGCGGCTCTCGGGGGCCACCGCCTGCGCCCTGCCTGGTTCAGGCGGCCCTCGCTGCTTCCTGCCTGGCCCTCCCCTCTTGTCATCATCCTTTTGTCTAGAGCCCTTCAGTCCTGAGGGCGTCCAAGTTCGTCCTCCCCATCACGGATCCATCTCTCCCGGGGCCATTCTGTTCTCTCGCTCCCGGGATGCCCCCAGCCCGTCTCCAAAATTTCCACCGTCTTATGCGTGTTCTTACTGCTGCCCCCGCCCCCCTACTCCCTCCCTCTCCTTCCTTCTCTCAGGAGCTGGCATCACCGCTTCTCCTCTCCTCACCTTCCTCCTGCCACCCACACCACGGAGGATAGGGAATGGCTAATCTAGGTGAGGCGACAACTACTTAATTGTGCTTCCATCACAGGACGAACAGGGTTCCTGTCCCCCGTGTCCTTAGGTGTGTACTATGGCCGCATGGAGCTTGCTCACTGCGCTGCGGCCCATCTGACACCCCTGCCCGAGGCGCAGCAGCCCTGCCAGTCAGAGCACCATCGCCGTGTAATTACCTCTCTCGCCCGGCTAATTACACGCGGGATTATTTGTGTGTCACAGCGTATTCCTATTCCTAATCGCGGTGTCGTTTCACAAACCAGGACCCAGCCCGGGAGGCGCCCATCATTCTTCTAAATAACAAGAGTCAGCCAATGCGAAGTCAGCTTCCGGCCGTCTCAAGGTCATCGCCTCGAGGTCGCCGCTGCCCAAGAGGGGGCACAGGTCTGGGGTGAGGGAGTCGGGATCCACACCTCCCACCACGTTCAGGGCCGCCGCCTCCCGGCCAGGCACGCACGCCCCGCCCCGTGTCAGGACCGGCTCTCTGGTCTGTCTCCTGCCCGGACTGTGAGACTCGTGCCGGCAGGGCGCTCGGAGGGCCTGTTAGCGGTGGTGCAGAGGGTGCGTGCCGGGGGGGCTGGAGGGTGGCCCCGGAGCTCAGGCCTGAGGGTCCTGTGTATGAAGCATCCTTCCAGCTGGGGAGGGAGGGGGTGCATGTGCCCAGAGAGGCCGGCAGGTGACCCCGAGTTCTCTTCCCTGAAGAATGTCAATCACTTGGTTTTAATTGGGAAGCCAACTCTGCTGTGTTTTTATTTCTATAAATATTTTTTATTGACTTCAGAGAGGAAGTGAGCGGGAGAGACAGAAACATCAATGATGAGAGAGGACCACTGATCGGCGGCCTCCTGCATGCCCCACATCGGGGCTCGAGCTCGCAACCCAGGCATGTGCCTGACTGGGGATCAAACTGTGACCTCCCGGTTCATAGGTCGATGCTCAACCCCTGAGCCACACCGGCCAGACAGCCCTACAGTTTTCGCTTCTCAGGGGGGAGCTCCTGTGGCCACAGACCCTCAGGGCCTATGGAGAAGGGACAGAGGGAGGTGGGAGCTCCTGTGGCCACAGACCCTCAGGGCCTATGGAGAAGGGACAGAGGGAGGTGGCGCTGGTTAGGAGCCTTGAGGCTGTCTCTGTCCCCACTGGCAGTGCCCAGACAGTCCCTGCAGGGCCAGGGAGGTGACCGCTCGTGCTCTGAGCGTGTGTTCGTTCCCGGTGGCTGTGTGTCGAGCCGCCAGGCGCAGTGGTCACACGACGCCAGCTATCTCGCAGTTCTGGAAGCGGAAGTCTACGTGAGCCTTCGGGGCTGACATCCAAGTGGCACCGCTGGCTCCTTCCGGAAGCTCAGGAAAATCTTGTCTAGCTTCCAGAGGCGCCCCATTCCCTGGCCCGTGGCCGCTCCCCCATCTCCACAGTCCCTGCTGGCGTTTGCAGTACTAACACTCGCAGGTTCTGGGATTAGCATGTGGACGCCTCTGGGGGCGGGACGTTACTCAGCCCCCCACCGCGAGGTGGAGGTAACGCAGACATGGGAGGCGGCCCCGGAGCCTCGGCCTCGGCCTCCCAGCCCTGGTCTCTCCACCACACCCATCCCATCAGACAGCAGGACACGCGGCTCGGACACGCGGACCCTGTGCTCTCCCAGGGGGAGATAGGCCTGAGGACCCCTTCTTTAAAGGGCTCCCCGAGGCGGACTCCCCTGTCAGGGTGAAGCAGACGTTGCTCGGGGACACTGAGCTGCTCGGAGGCGAGGTCTGCAGGCAAACGTCCAGGTGAGCGAGCGGAACGAATAACCAGGTGGACGACGGAGACCTGTGCTGACCCTGAACTTCCGAGCGAGGCAGCCGGAGGGGCCGAGCCGGGGGCTGGGCTGGGCTCCTGCATCTTAAAGCAAGAGCATTGTCCCGGGTCCTTCCACAAAGACTTTGTAGAGTGTGTGTGTGTATGTGTGTCCCTGTGGATGTGTGTGTGTGTGTGTGTGTGTGTGTGCGCGCGAGTGTGTGTGGATGTGTGTGTGTGTGAGTATGAGTGTGAGTGCGTGTGTGTCAGTGTGTGTGTGCCTGTGTGCGTGCGTGCATGAGTGTGTGTGTGAGAGTATGTGTGTGAGTGCGTGTGTGAGTATGTGAGTGTGAGTGCGTGTGTGTGTCAGTGTGTGTGCCTGTGTGTGCGAGTGTGTGTGAGTGCGTGTGTGAGTTTGTGTGTGTGTGAGAATCTGTGTGTGTATGAGAGAGAGAGATGAGTATTCAAACCAACACGGATCCTTCATGGAGTAAAATGGAAATTCACATGAATTTTTAACTAAAGACATGACACCTGACAGCTGCCCTGTGCCAGGCCAGCTCCCTCGGTGGCGCCTGCTCTCCCCACCTCCTGTTCTCACAGCCAAGTCAGAGAGCGCTCGGCCAGCGCCCAGGGGGACTCGCGGGCAGCAGGGAGGCTGGGGCCTGGCCCAGGATGTCGGGCTGTGCTGCAGGCGCCAGGGGCACGTGCTCTGGGCACCGGGGGGACACCCTACGCGGGCACCAGGGCGCGGAGCTCTGATCACACGCCGCGAGACAAAAATAAACGGGAATTCGCTTTGTGAGACGGGCTGCAAAGTGGTCTCTTAAGAAGCTATAAAGTGCTGCTTGGCCTGTAATTGCTGCTTGAATGGAATCCTAATTATATTTGCATCTTCCTGCAAAGCCTATCCGTTACCGACAACAGGGAGGCGGGCCGCGGGCACGCTGCCGCAGGTGACCCACAAATAGGGGCCCCCCTTCTCCCAGCCGGTTCGCCGGGGAGGAAGCCTCCCTGTAGGCTGACGTGGGCCCCTCTGCTCTCTCCTCACGAAAACCCAGCGGGAGAGCTTGTGTCAGGGCTCCTGCAGACCCTGAAGGTTCTGGAAGGTTAAAATTGTCCAGTTCACCCACGCTCCCCGGTGCCCAGCCAGGATCCTGGCACATAGTAGGAGCTTCGCCCCCACTGGAGGGCTACAGATTGGAGGGTCCTCTCTCCCAGCAGCCAGCACGCAGCCTGCGCACAGTAGGGCCTGACCCACGCCGGCTGAGTGGCTGGGTGCTGGTGTGGAGAGTGACCCTGGGGCCCCTGTGGGCCCGCCCTCTCGCAGATACTGTCAGGGCACCTGTGAGCCGCGGGCCGGCCTCCCGCGAGGAAGCGCGCGGTCCGGGTTCCCACCCAGAAGTCAGGACCCCTTGGGCCCCCCACAGCTGCCCCACATTGCTGTGGGTCCCCGGTGGCCAGGGCGTCATCGGGATTTACCCAAGGGTCCCCTCAGGAGCCAGGTGGGAGGGGCAGCCCTGGCCGACACCGTGCCCTCCTCACGGCCAGTGGACGGCCAAGCGGGGAGACACACGCAGACCACAAACATGCAAAGCTCGGCTGAAAAGTCAAAGCCACGTCGAAACACATCAACAGAGAAGCCTGAGCCGAGCGGGCGCATGTCCTGCCTGTGAGGACTCCGACCAGCAGAGCGCCTCCTGCCCTGGCAGTGCCCACCCTCCGTGCTGCTTCGTCCAGGGGCTGCCTCCTGGGCCGAGAAGATCAAGGCACCGACTGGCACACAGAGCCTTCCCCAAAGGCCCCGCTGGCTGGTCACTTAAAACCCACGCAGTGAAATAGATGAAGGCGGAGCTGGGTGGGCGTCACTGAGAGAGGCGGACAGAGCGGTGGGCGGCCAGGGCCCAGCAGGACCAGCTCTGTGGTGGCCAGGGCCCAGCAGGACCGGCCGTGTGGGTGGCCAGGGCCCAGCAGGAGGCTGTGTGGGCGGCCAGGGCCCAGCAGGACCAGCTCTGTGGTGGCCAGGGCCCAGCAGGAGGTTGTGCGGATGACCAGGGCCCCAGCAGGAGGCTGTATGGAGTGGCAGTGAGCACCTACCTTCCTCTTGTTGGCGGGGCAGATGAAGAAGCTGTCGATGACGGTGGTGAAGCCAGGCTGGATGGCGAGCTTGGTGTAGGTCGTCCCGAAGTCCGATGACCTAGGGGAACAGGACACAGACGTCAGCGACGGGCCCCTCGGAGCCAGCTGTGCCGAGTCCACGGCGTAGGCCAAGTGGGCCTCGCGCCCGCCCCGTAGCCCCTCATCCTGGGCAGCAGGAGACTGGCTCCCTCGGGACGCTGGACAGTCTCTCTGGCCGGGAGCGGGGACCAGTGTCCGGGCCACACCCCACACTGCTACTGACTGCGGGCCTCCCTGGTCACATGCAAGGTTTGGGCACGGGTTTTCCCTCTGAGGCAGCAGAGGGCTGGGATCAGGGGTCCCCGGGGCCCCCAGTAGAAAGGCTGTGGTCCCGTGCCCTTACCCAGCGCGTCCTGCCTGTTACCTGTCCTCTCGGGGACAGCGCTTGCCCCGACCGCGGTTCCCGGGGGGCCCTCATCATCCCCCATTTATCTCCCTCGTTGCCTGTTCCTCTCATCAGTTCAGGCCAGTGAGTCTGGCAGTGAGGGTGTCTGGCAGGAAGAGTTATTCCAAGAAGCGAGCCCAGACGGGCGGTTTGGCGCGGTCTCTGCCTCTCCAGTGTGTCGGGGGTTGAGGGGCGCCTGGGATACACACCCCGCTCTGCAGGACGCGCAGTGATTCTGCCGCAGACCTGGGGGGACGGGGGCGGGCCAGACGCCCGATGGGGGATGGTCTTGTCTCTCCCCAGGTGCAGGGTCAGGGGACCGAGCAGAGCCGGGTCCACAGGCGGCTCCTGCCTGGCCCGCACATGGGTGTGGAGACCGAGGGAGGCCGGCGGATGGCTGGGCCCGGAGAACGTGCCAGCCAGGATGCCACCTGGTGCCTGACCGGGCTGGAGGGCCCAGGCTGGGTTTGTGCCCAGGTGGAGGGGAGGCTCTGGAGACGCTGAGGGGCGGGTGTGGAGACACGGGAGGCAGTGGGACTCGCCTCTCGCTGTCTGGAAGCACACACAGCGCTTCCTGTGAGCGGGTCGGCGCCCCCAAGGGCCCCGCGCTCCCAGGGTGAGCACCCTGACAGGAGGGTGCCGGCCCCTCCGCCCCCAGCCCAGGCTGGCCTCAAAGCCATCTGGGGCCTGGGCCAGGTTAGACCTGGAATGGGTCCTTAGGAAAATTCCTGAATTTAATAATCCACAAGCAGCAACATTCCCTTCCTGAAAGGCCACCCCATCCTCGCTCTTCTTGGAATCGTTTAAAATGATGGAACAATAATATCAGAAAACAGCTGCACACGAAGAGGAGAAAAGAGTGCTGTGTGTTGGAAATGCACGTCCCCCCCAGTTTATTGTTATTACACCTGCCCCAG